AACTCTATGATTCTATGATTCTATATTAGATATTGGGATATTGCAATAAATTCATAATAATCATAATAATAATGCTTGTTAGATATTTATAATTCTATAGTAGTAAGTACTGTATTGGATGTATAACAGCCATATATTAAGAAGAACATTAACATATTAGATACTGCAGCATTGCAATAAGTTAATGATGATGATGATGATTGTTAGCTATTCTATAATTCTACAGTAATACGTACTGGTTTTATAATAGCAGTACATAAAGAAGAAAATTAACATATTAGTTACTGGGATATTGCAATAAGATAATAATAATAATGATAATAATAATGTTTGTTAGCTATTTTATAATTCTACAGTAATAAGTGTTGGATTTATAATAGCAGTATATAAAGAAAAAAATTAACATACTAGGCACTGGAATATTGTAATAAATGAATATCTGTTTTAACAGTGAATGTAGACACCTATTACTCTTGTAAGTCTCAGCCAACACTGGAGTTTATGGGATTGTGGGAGTTGGCACCATTTGCGTCTGTGTTACTTGCTGGTTGTTGTTGTGTGCCTTCAATTCATTACCGACATATGGCAACCCTAAGGCAACCCTATCATGGGGCTTTCTTGCAAGTTTCATCAGAGAGGGTTTGCCATTGCCATCCCCTGAGGATGAGAGAGTGTGACTGGCCCAGGGTGACCCAAGGGGTCTATATGGCCAAACCAGGATTCGAACCAGGACTCTTCAATGTCCAGCTTTCACAGCCAATCATAGAAATTGGAAATAGGATGGCATGGACAATCCTAATTTGAGCATTCAATTATATATATTTACAATTCAGGATCTTGTTTTGTTCCTGGAACTTTAGTTTTGTGAGATGTTTAGCAAGTCACATGTTCTCAGCCTCAAGGGATAAAGCCAGCATGGCATAGTGGCTTGAGCACTGGATAGGACTATGGAGATCAGTTTGTTGTGGTAGTTTACTGTTGTGGATGGAAAAGGCTAAATATCTCACAAAACTACAAAACCCAGAATACCATAGCATTGAGTCATGACAATTAAAGCTGTGTCAAACTGCATTATTTCTGCAGTGGTAAGGATGCACTCATCACCAGCACGGACTTAGCCAGATAGCTTGCATTGCCATCCCCTGAGCTTGCCTCCTTG